GCAAAATTAATTTGTTTAGAAGAATCTAAGTCGACCCAAACTAATTAACAGCAATCAATCTTTTTTTTTTTTTTTTTTTTATTCAATGCCCAACCTTAGATTATTTTAGCAAAGCATAAGGAATTACTTCGTGAGCAACAAGAGCGTGAGGGAAAACGACATCTTAATCTTCTTTTAGAACATTCAACGCACATGTTAGAGGTTCAACATAACGAGTTAGTTGGTACACAATCGACGCGTGATCGTATGGGTGACGACGATGATGATTACGATGAGACTGAGAATCTTGATATAGAGGATTCAGAGTCTGATCTAAATATAACCGAATATTATAGTCAAATGTCGGCCTCATCTACTGAGGTAGACGAAATTGATCAATTTAATGAAGGTGATGAGTCATCGATAGATGCACAAGATTTAGAAGAAGATTCCGAAGAAGAAACTTTGAGATCATTAATAGAAGAACCAGAAAACTCTGTTAAGGAAAAGCCTAATAACACAATATCTGGTGTTTATTCTGAATGTGAAAATCGAGAAAGCGAAGAACAAATTAGTCCCACGTCTAAGGAATCTGAAATTTCTAATACCTTATCAGAACCTCCTACGGGAACCACACTATCTACTGCCAATGTAAGAACACAAATTCCACCATTATTACGAGGACAACTACGTGAATATCAACACGTTGGTCTTGATTGGCTTGCCAGTTTGTATAATAACGGTTTGAATGGTATTCTTGCTGATGAAATGGGTCTTGGTAAAACTATTCAGACAATTGCATTATTAGCTCATTTGGCTTATGAAAAAGGAGATTGGGGTCCTCATTTGATTGTAGTACCTACGAGCGTCATCATCAATTGGGAAATGGAGTTTAAGAAATGGTGTCCAGGGTTTATAATTTTGACGTACTATGGTAGCCCAAAAGAACGTAGAGAAAAGCGTATTGGTTGGATGAGGGAACATAGCTTTCACGTTTGCATTACATCGTATCATCTTGTTGTGTTGGATCAAGTTGTATTCAAAAAAAAGAAATGGCACTATCTAATTCTTGATGAAGCGCATAACATTAAAAATTTCCAATCACAACGTTGGAAAACCTTATTGAATTTTAATTCAGAAAGAAGACTATTGCTCACTGGTACACCATTGCAAAACAATCTTATGGAATTATGGTCATTATTATATTTCCTGATGCCTAATGGGGTTTCCGGGGATATGCCACTTGGCTTTGCCAACCAAAAAGAGTTTCAAGAATGGTTTTCACGTCCTGTCGATAAGATTATCGAAAATAATGAACAATTTGATGATGAAACTCTCGCCGCAGTTCAGAAATTGCATACAGTTTTACGACCGTATCTACTACGTCGTTTGAAAGTTGATGTAGAAAAGCAACTCCCTGCAAAACATCATCACATAATTAAATGCAGACTCTCTAAACGGCAGCGTTTTTTGTATGATGACTTTATGTCCCGTGCGAAAACCAAAGAAACTCTTCAATCAGGCAATTTCCTAAGTATCATAAACTGCTTAATGCAATTACGCAAGGTCTGTAATCATCCAGATCTATTTGAGGTGAGGCCTATTCGTACGTCGTTTGCCATGTCCAAATCAGCAATTGCAGATTATGAAGTCAAAGAATTCTTGATCCGACGGAGATTGTTGCAAGATCATGACGTGTTTAAAAAATTAAATCTGGAGTTTATGAACCTTATTCCAAGTCATTTTGAAGATAGTCTTGATCGATTAATTGCGAATGAATGGGAAAAATTGAATCCTGAGAAAAAATTCTTAGATAAAGTTATAGAAAATAGAAATTTAACTTTTCAAAAGCCCATGACTTACTGTAGCCTTGTTGAGTTTGGTCATGCGACAGAACATCGTGCTCGTCTTAAAACTAGGCAGCGGTGGGATCACTTGCGATATATTAACGATTTTCGGCTCAGACGTCGTCCTATATACGGAACAGGCCTTATAAAATTATGTCGACGACTAGGATCAACTAAATGTGACATGCTATTAGCTGATACTAAAAATCCTCGGACTTATATGAATCGTATTGAATCAATTACGGATCTTATTGTGTCCAATGAACGTAGATATAACATGACGGAAGAAGTGATTAAGCAGTACGCATTTGTAACACCTGCTGTGGTTGCGAGAGATATGGCTTCGTTAGCATTAGCAGAATTACCAGATGAATTACGTTTGATGATTCATAACCAGGTGCAAGACATATATCATCCAATACGTGTCAAACTTCAGATTGCCTTTCCCGACAAGCGACTACTGCAATATGATTGTGGAAAGCTGCAAGAATTAGATCGGCTGCTTCGAGATCTTAAAGAAAAAGGTCATCGCGCGCTTATATTTACTCAAATGACTCGTGTTCTTGATATTTTGGAAATATTCTTAAATATCCATGGACATCGTTATCTTCGACTTGATGGTGCCACAAAAATCGAACAACGACAAATATTGACAGAACGCTTTAATCATGATCCAAAGATATTGGTATTTATACTTTCAACGAGATCTGGTGGCTTAGGTATAAATTTATTTTATTCAGTTAACTATTCATTAATTCACTCTTGTATATATTTATCGTCTAATGCTTGTATTTATTCTTTGTTAGGTATTAATCTAACGGGAGCAGACACCGTTATTTTTTATGATTCGGATTGGAATCCTTGTATGGATCGACAATGTCAAGACAGGTATTTTATGTTCTATTTACTCCATTGTGTTTGCATTAGATATTATACATATATCGCTTTCAATTTACAGATGCCATCGCATTGGTCAAACGCGTGAAGTAAACATATATCGATTCGTTAGTGAATACACGATTGAAGAAAACATGCTACAAAAAGCCAATCAAAAACGACTATTAGATAAAATGGTAATTACAGATGGTGAATTTACAACTGACTATTTCCAAAAGTTGGATTGGCGTGAACTTGTTAGCGATATAGCACCACATCGTATTAGAGAGGTGAATGATGAACCAAACTCTGGTGTGGAACTAGAGCAATGCCTCGCAGAAGTTGAAGATGATACTGATGTTACTGCGGCTCAGGTAGCTAGGAATGAAATGGATCTTGATCTTACGGATTTTGCAGAAGTCGCTGAAACACCAGCAGAAAGTTCCAATACTGCAGCTGCGGGACGGGCAAGTTCGGTCTCAACTGCACCATCACCAAACGAGATAGATGAAGCGAACGATGACAAACCAGATCATGTGGATTATTACATGCTTCGATTCATGGAACGTGAATTGGAACTTTATGTTGGGTTCGGTGTAGGGATGGGATCGGCTTGAGTCAGCTTGGCTCAAAAAGCCAAGCCGAGCCAGCTCAAGTTGGCCCAAGCCGGCTCAAGTCAGCTTAAGTTGGCAGCTGTTTTCGAATGATTTTTCGGCTGATATAATAAAAGTTATTTTTGTATTATTAATGATTGTTTGACAGATCATTATGAAAATAATATCAACAAATTTTTCTCGTTTGAATGTTTGTCTAACATGTTTGATGTGTTTAGTATGTGCGTTCTTGTCAACTAATAAATCTTGACGAGAAATATAAAAGCGGCTCCAAATATAAAAATTTTTATAATAACATGGGCTAGTTGCTGAGAAAAGGAATGAAATTGACAAACTTCAAAAAAATTTTTTTTTTGAGCTTAACTAATTTAGAATTAATCTAGAAACATTTTTCTCTTAAGGAACAAATGCTGTTATCTTAATAAATTTCGCAGTATAATTCTTTAAAAGTTTTTATTTTCTAATAATTTATTACAGAATTTATAATACAAAAATCAAAAATTTTTTTTGTTAATTTTGTCCCTTTTCTCAGCACCAAACACACTTATTAAACGAATAGGTAGCTAATGTTAAACATATTTTATATCGTTCGTGTTTAATAAACATGGTTTTTCTAAAAGCGACGGAAGTTCATGTCATTGAGAATGCTTGAAAACCCGATTTGTCAATTTTTTTAAACTGATAAACCTAAATCTTTTATTATTTGCTAGCGAAGATGTTTGAAAGTATCATATCGATATTTCTGTAACCAAAGGTATACATACATATGTAGTTCTATAATATCAGATATTTAAACGCCAAAAAAATTATATGGTGCATGTAGCCTAAAACCAGTATCACGTGACCTCTTATACCTATATAAAATAAAAAAAGTTATAACTAATAATCTTAATATTATAATAAAATTTTTTTCTTTGTAAATTAA